CTTTATGAAAGACATAATAGTTCCTTATTATCGCTAATTTCGTTCTCAAGGTTATATCTCCAATAACTATTCCGCCATGCTGCTGTTGCTATAATTCTTTAAAGCATCCGGATGGCCTGAATCTTTTAACAATCGCACTTTGGCAACCACTTCGAACAGTTGCTTCCGATAACCAACTAGCTCATTTCCTACTAGCATATCTTAGCGTAAAGGTAGCCTCTTTCGGAAGCATTATTTGGTTGGGACCAGTATTCATCAACTGCCCTAGAGATGTCGTTAATATTTATCACTAAGATTTTTCAATATTCTGTTTGAAATGCTACCGTCTCCAAATATTTTAGTTTTTGATAGTTGAAAGGTCTTGGAAAAAATTGGAAGATATGCGAGTTTTCAGTCTTATGAGGCTCGAACCGTGACTTGGTCTAACCCATAAAGGTTATCTTTTATTAGTACTGCTATATGCCAATTATCTAGTACAATACTCTTATGCAGAGTTATTTAACCATTTAATCATTAATGATTTTCACCAAGTCAAAAGTTAATAATTTTTGTGGTTTTTAACAACCAATTTGTTTACTATTTTAATCAATTTCAAAAATTAAATTAAGCTAAATCTTTTCAATCCTTTGGCATTATTATGGGTTAAAATAAAATAAAAAATTCCAGTTTTTTAAACATTCTTTCTCTTTTTCCTATATAACGCTTACATTTTTGGTTTGTCTCCATTGACTAGTAACGTGAGAATGTCCATACTGTTAATAATGGGTTTATAAGTTTATTTCCGTTGAGCCGCATGAATCGAACCGCAGTCTAAACAACCATTTTTTATCAATTTTGCACCCTATTTTTTTGTTTTTGATCCTAGCTAATTCACGCAATTAATGAACAAAATTGTGCATAATTGCCACTTTTTTCAGCTTTAACGTGAAAGAAAATGAATTGAAAGCACAACTTCGATTTTCGGAAAAAATTTTGTTCCAAGAGCCATTATTTCTCATTATATACAAATGATTTTTTCTATACTTTTTTTTATAAGCCAATCATTTAAAAATTTCGCGATTATTTGAAGAAAGAAAAAATTAAAAATGGAGAAAATTCTAAGAAATGTCAATACTACTACTGGAATTTTAAATTAAAACGAGCATAATAGACGACGAAACTGAAACTTGGAGTGATGATCCAACTTTTCTTCGCTGTTATATTTAGTTGAACCTCCTCTTTTCATTATTTTCATTCTAAATGATTAATTGATTAATCACTACCGAAAAGCTTCTAATAAGCAAATCTGAACCAAACCCCATGATCTTCAATATTTTATTGTATTTTGATGTGAACTTTGCGATTAGAGGGTTTGCTTTTGCGTTAAATGTTCTACATATCTTCATAATTTTTGATTAAATTAATGAATCAACAGCTAATTTCTTTGATTTAAAAAGTCGTATGAAAACAGAAAAATAAAGCAAAAGGCAAAAAATTCACTGAAAGATGGTACAGTGGTTTTCTGAAAAAAGTTTGAAGTGAAACTTCTTGAGATTGGAGGATCGGAGCAAATCGAGAATGTAAAGGATATCAGAGGTTAAACTTTATGGGTGCCGAACTTTTGAATTTTTCTAAGCTTAATTCGATCCTCTGAATCCAAATTTTTTTCTAAACCCCATCTCCCCGTTATCCCTTAATGCGATCCCTGACTTTTCTGACTCTTTCTTCATACTATAATTTGTAAAATATTGGTAGGTCAACAACAGTCAAAATATAACTAATATATATAATGATTAACATCAAGAACGAAACTGATGATATTTATTTATTTAGTTAAACACAGAGTGAGAGTGTGCACAGTAATATACTCATGCGCTTGAATTTACAACGCCATAATAAAAACGATAGAAGAATGATTAAACGACTATTGCTGGGAACAACTTGGAACAAACATTAAGAAAATATATAAATATAAAAATGTAAAATATCCAATTATTTCACATCATCGAAAGCCATTGTTTTAATCCATCGTTGAGTCCTTATTTTGGAATAATTACAGCGTCATTAAGAACATTTTAATCATCTTTTAAAGATACCGCCGAGTATCCACCATAGCTTGATTAATTCAATAAGTAATAACACGAATGGAGAAATTATTTATTTGTTTATTTATTTATTGAAAACCAGCCAAGCAGGGCACAAACACCATGTGCTTGTATTAATAACATCAGTTAAAATAACAATTAATAAGAATTAATGACAAAAATAAAAAAATAATAATATTAAAATAAAATAAACAATTTAAAGATGAAATAAAGAGGATATTGAAAATAATAAAATATAGTACAAATCGAAATAATTATAATCGAATGATAAAAATCGGGATATCACACTTCCTGTATGACGTGAATTTTTTAAATAATATCATAAATGATATTATCTATTCTTTTTTTAAAAATAGCTAGAGGTGACGCACAAGCTATATCGTTCGGTAGTTTATTCCAGTAATTAATATTACGAACAAAGAAATCATGAGACCTTAGTTTAATTTTACACATAGGTTTTAGTAATTTTAGCCCATTAGTTCTTACTGGATTTAAATTTAACCTAAAATTATATTTTGTACAATCTAGTTTAGCATAACCATATAAAATCCTATAAGTATAAATTACATCTTGTTTAATACAAACTGACAGGTTATATTGTAGAAGTTTTCTTTTATTAAAATTGCAATTAAAAGAGAGGCGCCGTATAAAATATTTTTGGAGACCTTCAATTATTTTACTTGATTTACGATATCTCTTGGAGTAACATGTAGCACTGTAGCCAAGAATTGGCCGAACGAACGCTTTGTACATTTTGATAAAAAAATCTTCAGCTTTGTTTTAAAACGAACGAAAAATAAAATTTAGTATTTTTGAGGATTTCTTTACTATGGTTCTGCGGTGAATGTCGAAATCAAGATTTTCATACACGATTATATCAAGATCGGAAATATGCGAGACTCTATTGATTATATTGTAATAAGATTAGGAAAATTGGAACCTTTGGAACTGATATGAAGAACGCTATATTTTTGAAAGGAAAGGGTAATTTGCCTGTCATATACCCAGCTGGCTGTTCTGTTAAGGTCCTCCTTCAGTGGAGATAGGCTATCTGATCTACCATGAGAACAATAAATTTTACAATCATCAGCATAAAGATAAATAGTAGAATTTAGTACCACATTGGTTACATCATTTATATATAATAGAAAAAGCAATGGCGCAATACAATTACCTTGGAATACACCAGATTTAACAGGTGTTGTGTCAGAGAGAGTGCTATTGACACGTACAGTTTGGTGACGATCTTTTATGTAATCTGACACCCAGTTATAAAGGGCTCCTGTAATGCCATAACTATTAAGAGTGATCAATAATTTGCTATGGGAAACAGTATCAAAAGCTTTAGCCAGATCTAGATTCACTACTGATTACCATTGTCAATTGATGCAGACCAATCGGAAAGATTTGCCAATATTTTTATGAAGAAGTGGATTTTTTTGTACAAAAGCCATGCTGATAAGGAAATATAAAATTATTGGCATCAAGATAAGTAACCAATTTGTCAAATCAACCTTTCGAGTACCAACGCATGTTAGGCTAATAGGTCTATAATTAGAAAGATCACAGGTGCTTCCTTTTTTATGAATGGGAAGTATATGAGACAACTTCCAAATCTTGGGATTAAGGCCAGATTTCATAATGTGTTTATAAATTAAAAATATTGGAAGACTCAGTGAAACTGCACATAGTCTATTTAAAACATCATAAGCATACAGTAGTATCATTTCAACCTAACCGAGAGAAGTATAGCAAATTACGTTAAAACAAGAAGTATGAGTATTATCCTCAACAAATACACTATTGTAGAAAATATTGATTGTAGAATCAATAGTTTACATGGATTTGAAAATTTTATTTTGATGTAGGTCCAGAAAGAATTCTTATTAATATTTAAAATTTGCTCCTCTTTATTTGAAAAAAGTAATTTGCTCCTCTTTATTTGAAAAGTAATTGAACGGCACCACGGATACTTCTTAAACATTTTTTATATGCAAAAAAGTCATTCGGCAATTTGTTTAATTTGTATTTATTATAAAGCTTCTTGACATTTTTTTAAAGAGATTTTAAAAAAATGGGAATCGACTTAACGCTTTTTTTCTTAGAGGGATATGTTGCTCTAAGAAATCCTAGTTTATTTCTGCGAGCATACTATTGAAGATTTCATAATCACAGCGATGATAATTTTTAGAATATCTCGACGGAGGTACATGACGGTCTAATTTTAATGAAGCATGAATGATATTGTGATCTGTTATTAAAAGGTTCCAAAACTTCAGTGTTGTCAACAAGAGAAGTAGAAGCTGCTAACACAACATCTAAAATAATGTTACACCTAGTGGCTAACATGTTGCTCTAGACCTATGTAAGTACAAAGGTTTAGAAAGACCTCTTCAAATTTGCTGCTATTTTCAAGCAACTATTTTCTCAATCTAAATTTGTCATATTAAGATCGCCTACAATTACATAATTGGCACCAAATAATTTTGATCTAAATAACAGGTTGTTAAGATCTTTAGTGACTTCCATAGCCAGGTGGGCGGTATATATTTAAAAGGAAAATGTTTATTATTAAGATAAATTTTAGTTATTAGAGATCCAAAAGAGGAATAAACAAAATCATCAAAAGTTATAAATTTATAATAATCAGGAATCAGCGTAATAAGCCCACCTCCACGAGTATTTAAACTATTTATTGTTCTATCCTTGCATGATACTATAAAGCCGTCGAAGTTTAGTTCCCGATTAATAGTAGAATCATCCAACTACGTTTCATTAATATGAAAGTACCATTTGGGTTATCAATTAGTAAGAGCTGTAAGTCATAAAGTTATATTTTAAACTTCTTGCATTAAATAATTATAAAAATAAAGATGAATTACTTCCTAATTTATTAACCTTTCTTGGCAAATTGTCCTAGGCTCTTCCAGATTGATGAGAGAAAGTTGGAATCGAAAAATTGTCGTTGCAAACCATTGGCGAGGTTGCCTGAGTTCCACTGTTTAAAGATTTCTGACAACATATTTCTTCAGAATGAGATTCTGATATCGCAAGTAACATTCTTTTCGCAACTGTTTGTCTAGGAATAGTTCTCTCTTCATTAAATTCTTCTGCAAAAAGCTTCCATGGGGAACAATCGAGCGCACATTCTTATAACTCAAAAGGCATAGCCGCGTATTTATCTTCATAACATGTCGACGAACTTCTTTAATGTAGTCAGTCTTGATCTCACGGGCAGCTACCATATGCTAAAAGCCTATCGGCAGTGGCAGTCTCATCATCCGTAGATTTCTCCGAGATGTTTATGCCAACTAAACATGGTTCTTTTTCCTTTTTTTCGAAATATTCATTAGTAGTTTGCAATATTTGCTCAGTTGAGATATTTGGAAGCACAAAGTTGCTATTCAAAGACGAGGTTTTCAAATTATTGATATCATTCTTAAGTTCGTCGTTGACCTTAGAAAGTATTTCAATAGATCTCGTTAAATGCAAAATTAGATCTTGTTGCTTTGATATTTCTCAGTAATGGAACTGCGTTCTCAAGTCTTCGATAGTTATTAAGGAGCCGACATCATTGGCAGAAGCACCTCATTAGCTGCAATATTTTTCGGTGCCATTTGAGTAAGTGTTACAAACAAAAATCTCTTTTGTCTTATAAGTAAAGTACTCGATATAAGACGATAAAAACAATATACTTTTAAGAAGAATATTAGACTAATATATTAAGGCGAATAATGTATCCCTTTTATCTTTTTAGGGAAGCACAATATAATTTAAGCAGATATAATGAATTATTGACGGAGAGATGATCGACATAACTGCTCACGACAATGACAACTTTAATATTATTATTGTAACTTATTCTACAAACTTATTCTACAAATTCAAGTAGTTAGTTTTGAATTTAGTTGCATATAAATTTAGGTTAAGAAATAGTAGAAGTAGTAGTACTTGGCGCAATAGTTTAATGTAACCATGCGAAAAATTGTATATTATTATCAAATATTAGTTAATTTTCTTCTGAGACCTTTCCTCATTTAATGCTTTTAATGAGTTTAAGATCCATAGTTTTAATTTCTCCTCGTAGTTAATGGTACTATTAAGGTTGGGTGTTATACTGGTGAGACAAAGTATCTTTATGACCTTCAATGAGTTTATCTTACTGAATAACATGCTTATATTGCAGTCTGACGAATGCTTTGTATTCCTATAAGGAAAATTTACTTTCTATTTTTAATTAAACAAAAAATTCATTATTTTAAAGGGCTTCTATACAATTACCCTATAGTGTTGATCAAAATCAAAATTTTTAACCGCAGTTATATCAGGACTTGGAATTTTCTTCATACGCTTAAGAATTTCATTATTAATTAAAATTGGTGGAAGATCAGACTTTCTTGCATTTATACGAAATGATAGCATTTTTACATAGAAAAAAGTAATCTACATTTTTCGAAACCAGTTTGTTATGATTATTTCGTGACGGGAATAAATTTTCCATCCACCATGCCAGGATTTACAATCCTCAGAATAGTCGTATATACTGGAGCTTAATACAACTTTAAATAATATCATTTATAACATTGTCAAAAAAAGGGACAATGTAACTACTTTGACGCATCTTTGACCGGTTCAAATTGGGAAGAAAATTGTTTCGTGCTAATTGGAACCTATGGTTGAAATAATCTAATAGATATCCATATATTATTTAGATGAATTACTCCACTACACTTTAATCAACTGCAGCAAAAATCAGACTCAGGATTAATGTAAATAAAACGAAAGTCATTTCGTCTTATATAAAAGAAGATAGTAAAATTCATTATCGATTGAGGATGTATTTGATTTTAAATCCTTGGGTCCACTCTAATACCGAATGGTCAGGCAAAAGACGATATTACAACCCTGATGTGCTGACGAAACCTTTATGGAGCCATCATGAAATCACCATAAAAACGAAGGTTCATATCTATGTAGCCGCTATTTATTCAATCTTGCTATATGGCTGCGAGATATGGCCTATGAGAGTGGAGGATGTTAAGAAGTTATCTGTCTTTCGCCACTCATGGCATTGATAATACCATTATAGAATGTCGCCTTCGCTGGTTAGGGCACGTTCCCGTCGTTCACCACAAGAGTTGACGCATATTTCGTTACTTGCTAAATTCTGTGGTGGGTGGCATCAAAAGCGAGGTGATCCAATCAAGACCTGGACTGATGTGGTTAGGAAAAATTTTGAAGGATAAATGGACCAGCAGTATTTGGACTTAGGCGATGGAAAACGATGACATCAGATCGCGCAGCGTGGAAATGTCTTACTCTAGTGACCAGTGGGCCAGCTAAACTAATAATGGTGAAGGTTGTTAGAAAATGAACTACGCCATAATTATAGTTGACACTTATTATGATTATGGTTTCGTCAACTGGAAGAAAGCATTTCTTGCTGCCGTTATCCGAGTATTCCAAGGTATTTAAAATTGGGTACTTCCTCAACCGGCAATTGATAAGACGAAAAGACTTTTATTTTATTTACATTGATTGTGAGTCCAGTTCTCACTGAAGTTGCTGATACCTTGTTTAGCTTTATTTGTATTTCGTCATAATTGTCAGCAAAAAGGACTATATTATCAGCGTATTCAAGATAAGTAATACGATACTCTAGACTGATTTGATACCTCTTGAGTGCAGAAAAACGATGTCCATAATCCAGTCTGTTGCACATTGAATAAGATGAAGGACGCAGCCTTAATGGAGAGCAGTTTTTATTTCGAAGGAGCCTGTCAGTTCCCCATGCTATGCTCATAAAATGCCTTTAGAAGTCGAATGATTTTCTCTGGACAACCGTTGCGTTCCATCATTCTCCAAAGCGCAGCTCTATCAATTGAATCAAAGGCAGTCGATGAAACACGTGACAGTGAGCTGCAAATATTTAAAGCGATGTTCCAACACCCTTCTTAACGTGAATATCTAGTCAGCACAACCGCGCCCTAGTCTGAATCCAGCTTTATTAAAGCCCATCCTGCATCTTCATACTTCCATAAGTTTATTGAGTAAAAAGGAAACAAAAATTTTCGCTAAGACGTCTAATAAGCTGATTCCTCGATAATTGTTGCCTATGTCCTATGACCTTTCTCAAGAATGGGGAGCAGAATTTCTTTGCTCCATTCATTCGGTAATATTTCTTTTTTGCATACCAGAGAGTATGTTTGTTGAAGACTATGAAGGATAATGGACAACATTTGAAGAGATCAGCTGGAAGACCATCTTCTCTTGGAGTCTTATTGGCCTTAAGCTTATGGATAATGGAGCTTATTATTTCTTCTTCTGTTGGCGGTTCGCAATTGCAAACGCATGGTTGCACGTTTCAGCTATACCGGAGCCAGCAGATGGCGTTCATTATTAAGTTTGGCCTCAAAAAATTCCTTCCATCTTATAAGGTGAGATCCTTCATATTCATAATAGGCACACCATTGCTATCCCTTATCATTTCACTGATCGTGTTAGAGTTGCTTTATGAAGAAGGCGGAATAGTTTCCTATTATCCGCCGTCAAGCCGCCATCTCCTTTCTCAAGGTGATTTTTGTCCCATCGTTGTGCTTTCGCTGCAAATTTTCGAAGCATCTGGCAGTCAGTATCACTTGATATGAGTGCTTTTTCAGACAGTTGGGCAGTTGCTTTCGATATCCAACCACTTTCTATGCCCTAGCGTGGAACTGAATGACTTTCGGAGATATTCCTTTAGTTGGGATAAGTATTCATTTGGCGTTCGAGAAAAATCATTGATATTTATATCACTGAGATACTTCAATAAATCGAAATGCGTTCACTATCCCCGAATCTTTTAGTTTGAGATAATTGAAGGATCTTGGGGGATGCTGTTTTTTGAGATTTGTCAATTTTATGCAGACCTTTTATCAAATCCAGCGCTTACAAGCTTTTTAAATTGCATTCAATACTACAAATATCTAATACATCGAATTCAGTATTGTTCAAAAAGCAATTATTGTTCTAAAAATTCTCATAAGCATGCACGCCATTCATATTATCATTCGCAATATACTAAAGAGCTATAATAAATGGCAATTTCAAAATTACTTATGATCATATTACTATTTTTCTTTAACGCAAGTTATTTTCTTGGCTCTGAAAAAAAATTTTTTTATGATAATAACTTTATTTTATTTTTGCCGGATAAAAACTTTATTTTATTTTTGCCGGACAAACTTAATGCCTTTTTGTTTTGAATGAAACATTTGCGAAAATATTTCTGGTGGTTTATAGAACTGTGGTGAAATCATAATCCGGTTAGACAATATTTGTCGATCAATTTTTCAAACCGACTTTAAAGTGAACTGACTTAGGGATATGTTTAACTTGTTTTTTTTTGATAAAAATATATATTTTTCATGAGATTTAATATTACTCTGTTAGGAACATTTTTTGATCGAAATATCAATAAAAGTCCTAACCTATTTTTGCATTATATCATAAATTCACTTACATCATTATAATAGCATGAAATACAAGAAGAGAGGTAAATGCACAATCTAATAATGTTTTACGTCTGGTTAGAATCGTGACTTTCTACCGACATATAAACTGGAATTTAAAAACTTGCTTCATATCTGCTATTATTTAGCATAAAGCTATGCCAGTCTATATTGGAGCCATATTAAGATCAATAAAATTGGAACCAAATAAATTAAATTAATAAATTCCAAATATTTGCAGGGAAATTATTGCCATAGTTGAGGGAAGATATGTTTAATATGAAAATACTTGGTTAATTAGTGCAAGTTTTGGTTTATAGCGATCATATCTAAAATAAGCCAGAATGAGAAGGAAGCAAGCCGCTCTCTATCCTCCCTTCACCCTTCTCCAGTTTTATGGAATTATAACTAATCTTATCTTTTCATATTTTTTCGAAAACATCAAATTTCAATTTAACACCACTAACAGCATTGTTCAGCTAGGTTTCGTTGGTACTTCTGCTTTCTAATAGAAACATTTCGTCGTATTTTAAGAAAAATAACTTAATAGATTCATTTCCTTGGTACTTTTGTGGAGATGTATCAAACTTTACGTTCTTTCTTCTTATTCTAGCAGTTCTCACCACTTCAGCTTTGGCATATTTACTGATTTAAAAGTAAAGCCAAAGAACGTAAAACACTTGAGAACGAAAGTGGTGGTGGTGAATACGAGCACTTTTTTCTCATGGAAGTGCATGGATCAGTTTCCCATTGAAAAAAAATTTTAGATAATTTCCTCAATTTTACATGTAAGTGGAAAGAAATGACAGAATTGAATTAATGAAGGAATTATATCTTGGAATTGAAATAACTATAAAAATTATGTGCATATTAAAGTTTTTTTAAAATTTGATTTTGATTTTTCTTTGAATCCCAATTGGTCAATTGGAAAAAAATTCCGTATCAGATCTGCTTAACGTTTAACTGAATAATGGTGTAATGTCTTTGCAGTTTTTTCGTAAATTTCAAATTACATTTTCATCACCAAACGTCAACACTTTTGAAACAACTCAACAGTAAAAAAATTTCGATAAGTTTCTTAGATATAGATAAACTAGAATAAGAATCTTCAGTTATATTCGATTAAACTGAATTATTTGAAGTGTGAACTGCGTCTGTTCGCCTGCTTCATAAATAATTTTATTCTTCATTGCGTTTATTTTCTCGTCTTTTCTTTATTTTTTTCATTTCGTCGTTTTTGGACACAAGAGTGCAAAAGAGTGCAAAAAAATGAGATATTTTCTTTAAAAACTCTGTAGGAATAAACTTGCCATTAAAAAAATCTCCCAGCCTGCTAGCAATGTACTCTTCTATTGCCAAGTGACTGCTTGGTAAAAATTCCTGACAGCACTAACAGTCGGTGGAGGGAATATAGCGAAAAATGGAAAGCGCTACTTGCTTTACTTATTAACTTATAGTTTCATTATCGAGTCCTTCAAATTTTCTTTAGTAAAATATTCGCTTGCCCTCGCTGCATCTCACTAACTTTTAACTTTCTGTTCTCCTAAAAAATTTTAAGCAGAGCAAATGCACAGACAAAATCAATAAATTTTAAAATTTTTTTTATATAGAAAATATTACCACTATTTCCCATAGTAGTTTTTTCGCTTCTGTTAACGATGATATAAATATAAACATGAAAAGAAAAGAGTTAACGACAAAAGGTAGTTTTAAAGGTATATCCTAATGATAGGCTGAAACTTTTAAGCTTGAATCGCATCATTTTAAATTAATAAAATCGTTATAAAAGTAAAAATCAGATCTTAATTTTCTTAAAATATTGATTGAAAACTGCAATAATATTAATATTAACAATATTAAATACGGAGCGGAAGAAACTGCTCAAACACTTAAAGAAATCAGACTAATGTCAACTAGCTCTACGTCAGTGTGCATGTACTGAAGTCTTGGATATAGGGTGCGTGGGACATAAACACTTATGGATGTATGAAGTTAAGTTAACTGAAGTTTAATTAACTAAAAATTGTCCGTGCGCCCGTTTATATTGTGAGTTTTATTATTTTCATTGAGTTGATTTTTCAAGATTTATCCTTTGGTGTTGAATGTCGGTGACTTCTTTTCCTCTTCATCGCAGTTCCATTGTGATTGTGAGAAACTAAGGTACTTGTAGATGCTGTATATGTCATTCCTATCTCCGATTAACTATTTTATCGCATTTTATGTTACCATTCAGTCATACTTCTCCAGTCCGAATGGCATTCTAATATTCTTTCGCTATAGATTCGAGTAAAATGAATGAGGTTATCAGTATCGCTTTTAATTTAATGTCATCCATGTGACGAAGGTGACTGATGGTAATTCCACCCATGAGCTTATATCTGTATTTTTGTAATCATCTGGTTGAGAGAGTTTAGATCTGTGCAGAATGGTGGCACAGATAATGCATCACCTCGATATAGGCGGCACTTTATAGCAACTTGTGAAAGTTATTTTAATTTGACTACAAGTTTTCTACAGTTACATTGAATTCTCGATGAAGATTTAGGATATTGTTAATTTCATGCAGAACCACCATACATTCACAGATCCATGTGTTGTCGCGAATAGCGAACCAAATAATGAAAAATAAATAAAATAAATTGTTGGAATTGAATGGTGTGAATTGTTGGAATTGAATGTTGTTATATAACCGATCTCACATTCCTAAGGTGATTTTTTAATGCATTTTTTTATTATCTTGATTCAACTGAATTCCAATCTTTTTTTCTTTATAGCTAGAAAACTAATTTACATGCGAAATGCTTTATCTTATAACCTATCTTATTACAATTTATACTGTAACCAGATTTTTTACAGTTTTTTTGTGTGAACATTAGAATACCACTAAATGTAAGCCACTCCCACTAAATATTTTGAAATATTAATCGGAATTCCATATATATATTGATGTGTGAAATGTAAACTCAGAATAAAATAAAGCCCTTTTGTTGCTTAACGTCGTCGAGAGATCTACTCTTGTATTCGACTGCGCCAATTCATTCTCCCCAATCAAGTTTCTAAAAATGTGTAGGGTATTGAGTTATACTATAGTCAAGTTGTGTACAGACTGATCTGCCGAGACTTTGAGTTTTGAGCGACTGCTTTATCTATGAGCAATACCAGTTGCATTTGGGGCCTATGGTGTTGTTCCTAATTTTTGAACTGTACTCATATACTGGCTCATATGGTCATATAGCTTGATGGCTATGGTGCCTGATGGTCGTTCGATGTGGAGGAGGGGGTTGAAGGTTATTGGTAAATACTTGAATGGTATTGTTCTCTTATGAGGGTCTTTCATGATAGTGCCGTTCTCCATTGGCTATTAGAGTTACAAAGAGTCACTGGATGAGAAAGGTTGATCACAAATACCATCGTTATTTCGCTTTTAATGATGGATTTACTCTAGTCAAAAAACAAGAATTGAACTCATGATGTTCAGCGCCAGCCGAAACAGATTTTTCGATCATCCTGTCCACTAGCAGTTTTTTTAAGTGAAAAGATCATCAATAGAAAATTTTGCAGCATTTTATTTGTACAATTTGGATGAAGAAAAGGAATCTATTTGCTATGGATGTCTTGAAACAAAATAATGTTAAATTCCACTTTAAAAATCGGTCTACACAAAGAAAAGGGCATTGAAAATTAGTGTAAGTTCGTCAGTTTTTGTCTTTTAAACACTTTGAATTATTTAATATGAATAGAACAAAAGTAAATAAGTACAAATGACTGATCACCATTTTTCGTCCATTTCTCATATATCCGTTTACTTCTAGTATGATTAGGAATTTTTACCAAGGACAATAGAAATGCAAATGGATGGCAAGCACTATTTGAATTTTTTATTTAGCAGAGGAGCTCTTGTCTCTTAAAACAATGGGCACCATTCACTCCGCTATCCTCCTCTAATATCAATAAAATAGTGGTATTTTGACATTGCTTTGCTTTTTTATAAATGGTATCACCAAAGTGGTATTAAATTCTACCATTTATGCTAATGATTGTAAAATTTATTATTCTCATGAAAGGCAACTGGCTTATATGACAGGCAAATTACCTTTTCTTTTTAAAAGTGTAGCGTTCTTCATATTAATTCTAAAGGTTTCGATTTTCCTAATCTTTTTATTAATGGTAATGGTAAAATCAGCAGAGTCTCACACATTTCCGATCTTGGAATAATCATGGATGAAAATCTCGATTTCGACCTTTACTGCAGAACCATGGTAAAGAAATCCTCAAAGATACTAAGTTTTATTTTTCGTTCGTTTACAAACAAACTGAAGGTTTTCTTATCAGAATGTACGAAGCCATTTCTTGACTATAATACTACCTGTTACTCTCCGAGATATCGCAAATCAAGTAAAATAATTGAAGAAAAACTCCAAAAATATTTTATACAATATTTTATTTTATCCTCTCTCCTAATGGCAATTTTAATTATGAAAGAAAACTTCAATAATACAACCTGGATTCTCTCTCAATTCGTCGAATTAAATTTAATTTATATTTATAAGATTCTATATGGTCATGTTAAACTAGATTGTTCAAAATATTGTAATTTTAGGCTAAATTTGAATCCAACAAGAATCCAAGAAGTAATGGGCTAAAATTACTGAAACCTATCTACAAAAAACCTATCCTAAACTAAACTAAGGACTCTTGACTTCATTATTCGTACTATTAATTACTGGAATAAACTAACGAATGATGTAGTTTATGCTTCATCCTTAGCTATTTTTTAAAAAAGAATAGATTATATCATTTATGACTTTATTTGAAAAGTTCACATCATACAGGTAGTGTGAAATCTCGAATTTTTACTATCCGATTATATATAATACAGAAACTTTGAATTGTACTAATTTCCTCTTTATTTCTTCTTTAAATTATAAATTTTTGTCATTAATTATTATTTGTTATTTTACCTGCTGTTATTAATACAAGCACATGGCGTTTGTCGCCCTGCTTAGCTGGTTTTCAATAATTAAATAAATATGATAAGTTTTGCATCTTGAAAAAATTATTTTTTGCAAAAACTAATTTGAATCAATTTTATTTATGCGAATTGGATATTTTGTTGCTCGGCAACCGCAGACAATCTTGAATTTCTAGTTTCTTTCTTCTGAATGCTTCAGTCTTTCAGTTCAAACATTTGTTAAATGATTCTTAAAGCCTTAGATAGTTTTGATGTGTCACATCAAATTATTGCAAAATGCGCTCACAGTGGTATTATTGATGAATCTGCAAAATCTCAATTCATTTTTGCAACAACAACAAATAAGGTATGTTTCAATTCCAATTTTGTCGATGTTTGTTTAACTTGAAGTGCTTAATTTCACGTTTAGTAATCCCAAAGAAGAGTGGTTTATGTTCACAATTTCTGGTTAGGTTGGCTTTGCCAGTTTTTACTACTGGGATTTTCACCATGAAGTGGGAATTTTTATCGCTTTGCTATAAAAATGCGAATGAACCGTCAGCACTTCCTGGATTATTTAATGGCGGGTTTATTTTTATCAGTGATAAGACTCTAATCTTTGCCTCTTAGCATGATAATCTGGGTGGCTAACCACTCCGTCACCTTACATATAGCAGTTAACTTGAAGTCCAGATTCAACGACTTAGAAGAAGGAAATTAATTGCAGATAATGGTTCATGAATCTGATACGTCGCTTAATATTAATGATAGGATTCAAGCTTTAGTTATCGCTCCCCTTGATACTTCATACGACGTTATAATTGTCGGAACTACAAGTTGCATTTTAGCGTATGATTTCCAACGGAATTCTAGTTTATTTCAGCGTGATATTGTAGATGGAATAAATTGCATTAAGGTTACATTGTATTTTGTTTTATCAACCAATCGAAGTTTTTCAACGAAAATTTTTTCGAAGGATGGCTTTTTTTAAGCAATAATTAGTTATTAATTGGTTCTCATTTTTCAATGCTAAATATTTCATAAGTTTTTCGAGCAATTTCATTAAAAATTTATTAATTTATTAAAAATAACATTTTCATCTTTACTTATTTCTACTTACATATACTTTTTCCTCTAACGACACTCTTTCTGTTTTGAATGAAATCTTTTCGTAATAGTGACACTTGAAGGAGATATAAGTGGAACTTCAGCACCACTCGGATTTCATTTTTAATGGCAGATTTGTTCTCATAAAACAACATGCCAGCAGTCGGTCATCTTGCCTCTCGTTATTAATAATTGTCTATTAAAATTATTTGTTGATCATCAATTCAATTATCAATTCTTCACACTAATAAGAAAAAAATTTATTAAACTGCAGGTTGGGTCCTTCAGCTTGTATGATTCAATAATTATGTGTGGCGGAAACTGTGCTATCTGGGGCTTAGATAAAGGTGGCAATGATCTCTTTTGGACCGTCACTGGTGACAATGTTTTGTCACTATGCTTTTGTGATGTTGATAATGATGGAATAAATGAGGTAAAATTGTTTTATTATTAATAATATCATTATTGTTTTGTTAAAATAATGTTATATTATTTATATTATTGCTATATTTCTTGATTAATTGTACTTGATATTTGAATTTATCTGACCTAGATACCTGATCTTCATTTTGAAAATTCGCTTTTTTTCAAAGAAACTTGTCGACCATGAGCATGAGAATGTTTTGATGTGCTTTTAAATAATCTTCTAAACTTTTAAATAATTGATGTAAGTAAGAAATAATTATATTTACTTGCATCAATAATTGATTCCTATTTGTGGTTTGGCTCAATTCATTGGTTGTTTGGACTAAAAGTTTTTTCCACTTAATCATTCAAGTGTCCATCATCATCTGGATTTTTAAATAACAGATTTGTTCCTGTCGGAAGCAAGATTCGAGCTTTGGGGCTCGAAGATAATTTCTAAATACTTCAGTATATGACATGAATGAATGACATTAATCACCTTTATTTGATTTTTCATTTAATTTAGCTTATTGTTGGATCTGAAGACTTTGACATTCGGATATTTAAAAGTGATTTACTATTATATGAATTAAACGAAACTGATGCAGTAATTTATCTTCAAGACCTAAAACATGAGCGATTTGCATATGCACTTGCCAATGGCACGATTGGAGTATATAAAGAGGAAACTCGCCTCTGGCGCATTAAGAGTAAAAATCAGTGTATGGCTTTCACAGTGTTTCCAGATTCTGAATCACTGGTTTGTGCATGGGTTTTTGGAAAGGTGAATATAGTCTTCTTTTTTAAAATGAAAATTTAGTCTTGTGTTCATTACCTTGAAGATAGAAGACCTTGAAGATAATAAATGTTTTGCGATGAATTTATCTGAAGATATCTCACTTCCGTCAATTTTTACAAAACTTCATACTTCAGCATCCATGAACATCGAGATCCTCTTCTTTTGTATTTCCGCCACAAAATGTTGGTACTTATTTCACTTAATTCACAGATTGATATTCGCAATGTTGAAAATGGTGATATCACGGCGAAAGAGTCATTTAAAGGCAAAGTCGCTAATATTTACACAGTCAATAATAAACTAGTAGTGGCCATGCAAGATGGAAACGGTACAAAGTTTATGCCTTTTAATTCACTAATACGATAAGAGCTGAAAAGAAACATTAATCATGAATAATTTGTGGTTTTTTACATAGGTTTTTGATTTATTTGGAAACATAAGTTTTATAAAAATCTTATCTTTTTAGCTAGTATTTGTTATTATTTATCTTCTCCCTGTTTTTATGCAATTAAATTAATCCTTTTCACTATTCACTATTACCGGTTTGGTTCGTTTCGCTTACGATTAGAATGCGACAAATGCTATATAGGCTCTTAGAGATAAAACACATGGATCCTCATGATCACCTAATTTCAGTTTTAATTTTAATATTTATTTTCAAAACAATGATCCTATAAGCCTTAGAGTTTCAATAATGTTGTGCTTAACAGCGATTATAACATTAATGAAAATTAGTAAAGCACTTAGTATTCTTTGCAAAAAGAAAAATACCGTACACAAAATAAAATAAGAAAAATATATATGGGTAGTGGCTAATTAACGGAAATAATGAGCCAGTTATAAAACAGATTTATTCGATAAATTGTAAATAATGTTATAAAAAAATTTATTTTCAAAGATAGAAACATGGAAACCAAAGGCAACACCATTAGGCAATTTGTTCCGATAGTTGGTGCTCCTAACGAAGTAAGATATTATATTACATTTTAATGGTAAGAATAGAACCAGTGATGGTTGACCATGATCGAAACGATATCACTCCACTCGACTATCTAATTATTTAATTATATTAATTCGAAAATAGCAAATCAAGTTCGTTTCAGTTCGTACTTTTGAAATGGCTGATTCTGAAATTGGTGTCATAGCTGACCAAACTATTCTTCATGAACTGGGGCTGAAGAAAAACAGTTTATTGGTAAATAATAGCTTTTATTTTCCTTGTTTTGTTCTTAAAACAAGTTTTTCATTCTTCTTTGTTTTGTTAAATTGTCGTGTTTTGTGTTCAGTTAGATTTGAGCAAATAAATCAGTTTTAAGTTTGCTAATTCTTCAATAACATATTATAAACATGTAGGAACAGCAAACAGTTCCTTCAAAAATTAACTGATTGCGCTTTGAGTACATTTATATTAAAGAACTAAAAAACTATTTTATTGCAGATTGAATTAAGTAATTATGAACAATGCCATAATGATCAAAATGATCTGGAAAGCAAAGAAACAACTGTGGAAATTGAAAAAAGGATTCCAGTATATATTTTTTTTGACAAAATGCAATTTTGATTTCGCTGCTTTAATGCTGGTAATATTTATTTCAGGCCAATACACATCTTGAAACATACCTTACAGTTAACTGGGATCTAGTTCCACCATCAGTTGAATTGCAAATAAGCTTATCTAATGAAGCGATTGTCCGAGCTGTTATTATTTTCGCTGAAGGTATATTTGGTGGCGAATCTTTCACTGTGTCAGTCTACTATAATTAATACATCATTATTTGTTTTTATTCTCAGAAAACTTATCTTTTTCTGGAAAATAGCCACTTTATGTGCTGTGCAGCAAAGTGTTTAGTTTTTTAGTGTTTGATTAACATTTCTTCCGCAGGCAAATCGATGTGTAATGTGTAATTCTTTTTTAAGACAGTCAAGTTATGTAATGCATTGAAGATGTAGTTCTCCATCATAATGACTTAAAATCCCAGAAATCTTGAAATTACAGGCATCCGACGTCAAATTTTTCATCCAAAGTTTTTGTACAGCTTCGAACAAATAAAGACATTCCTGTTGATTTGCATGTGAAAGTATTTGTTGGTTATCTCCAAAGGTTTTTTTTTTAAGAGTCCTCATCATTACTGATTAAACTCGTTCCGCTGGCTTGTCGCATTAGATAAATATGCCAGGGAATCCCTTGGCGGTAGAAATATAGGTGAGTCGCCAGCATTATCTGGATTTTTGGACAGGTTTACCCCTGCGTGGAACCTCAGCATCGGCGCTCCAAATTGAGTTACAGCCCACGAGCCATCCTATCTGCAAAGTTGAAAAACTTTAACAAAAAAAATTTGCTATTGTGCAACAAATTAATATCTTTCTTTTGAATCATTCCTCACTTTCATTTCTTCCACATAAGTCACAATGGAGCTTTTATGAAATTAGGTAGAACAATTGAATAAAATAAATTTAATAAAAATAAATTGGATGTGGCAAAGTGGGTCGCTGTTCAATCGAGTACGCATACTGAGATTCTACTCCTTGCAGGAGTAAACTTGAAATCCGGATGACGCTGGCAGCTCACCTATACTTCTATTGCTCGATATTTTGTATAATTTATAAGAAAGTGCCAATTTTCATCGATCATATGTTACAGCACACAGCTGCACATTTTTGAATTAACTCGGACTCTACCCCGATTCGCAATGTTTGCTGTATGTGTGGAAGACGCTCCTGAGCCTGAAGGCATAGCTGAGTTTATTATCAATGAAAAACCTATCAGGGTAATTTTTCTTTTGATTTTCAAAATTTTTGAAGAGATTGGCAAATGAAAAAAATTTCAACACCTGATTTAGTTAGCTTCATGGATTAACGAAAATTTTCTTTTGCATGATGAAATTACAAGTGATCCTGATTCGGCATTGGCAGTAAAATTCTATAGTTTACGAACAAAAGAATTGCTTTTTATTACAATGGATTGTTCAGGGAAGGTATGCTGCACTAATTTTAAAAATCCAAAAATTAATCCTTATTCAAGAAAGTTAAATTTGCACTTCTTTTTTTTTTAAAGTTTAATATCATTCGAGTTCACCAAATAATAAAAACTTAGCATATTTATATTCAAACTCAACGATCAATCCAACCAGGTTGTGATTCGTAATAATGATATGGAACTAGTTGGCAATGTGGTTCAATCAATCGCTGAATATTTTTCTTTAGAAGCGTTATCTACTAAGGCCAATTTCCCATTTGAAATGAAAAATATACTTGAAATTTGTGAAAAAGTTTGTTTTTGTTGAGGTTCAGCTAAAAGATTATTAGATTTCAAGAATTTTGTCAAAGCAAAAGAGTTGACAACAATAAGTACGGTAAATTATTTGTGCTCGAAATATGCAAAAATATCTCTAGAAGTGGAAAAGAGTCGAAAAAAAACAAGAAATATTTGATTTTTTATTGCATAATACCTTATCAGTAATAGATATTAATTATAGTTCCGTGAAGCTCAGTTAATTCGAGATCGTTTAAATGCTGATGTGGCAGAAAAAACTGGTTTCATCAAAGAAATGATTGTACGTGCAGAAGATGCTCGGATTATTGGTCAAAAGTAACAATTTTCTTATTTTCGCTGAGTTATAAAATATCTGAGGCATTTCGCCTAACTTTCGTTGTTGATAATCCCTCAGGAAACCATGGAATCAACAATTATTTCAACAGATTCTACTTATTACAGTATATTAAATATATTATAATAAGTTATAAGCTATATAATAAATTATATATCTTGAAAATTATATATTTATCACTTTTATCACTACATTACATTTATCTATATATTTATCACTTTTTTTGGAATTAAGAGGAATGATGAAACGATATTACATTCGCCTAAATATGTTAGAGGAAGAAGTAATCTCTGGGCATCGTATTAGATGCAATAATTATAATGAATTGCTCAAAACTCTTCGTGATTTGAATAAATTTATTGAAAAAGCTGCTCGATTACGAGGTAACTTCTATTTTTAAATTCTCCATTTTATCCTAAATCTTTGAGCTTCTATTCGCATATCTTTTTATTTTTTACAATATTGTGCAAATCATCTTTTTTTTCATTTGTAGCAGGTGCACCAGCTAGTCGAGTGGTAGCAGCTCTTCGAAATGCAATTGCTCACGAAAATTTTGATATGATGCATAAGATAATTTTTTATGGAGTATAATGCAATTAGGACAATAAACAAAATATCAGATCCATCTTTTGTCAATTTCCTCATATAAAATTGCTTATGCTAATATTTTTGTCTTTAAATCCGCGCAAGAAGCAATTATAAGCTCTCGAACAAGTTCTTCATATTTTTTATTTTAAAAAATTTACTGATTGCTCGGAAATGACTCTACACAATTTCATAAATTTTTATTTCATTTTCACACTATTTCAAGGCTACTATATAAGTAAATTTTAAAGCGATTTTTATTTTAGTAATTCATACTCAATTAATCTTGAATAAAATTGAAGTAACGTTGGTAACTTAAAATTATTATAACTATGCTCAAAAATATTGAAAGGTTCTTATGAAAAATATTGAAGATCCAAATTTAGCGCGATTTTCTTTCTAACTGAGGTTGTTTCAAGGCTACAGTTCGGCAATTAATGTTGCTTCATCACTGCTTATATCAGTTGCTGAAATGAATTTTATATCTACATCATCGATGAAATGAAATAGAATCTATCGGCTACATATTGGGGTAGTTTCGTTTCTGTCGCTGTATTATTAAAGGGCAGTTTAAACACGAAGCAATGTGGTGGAGTGATATGTTCATTTGGTTGAGGTCAAATAGCATGGCTTTTTGCCCTTACTTTTGAACAAGCCTTTTATTAAAAATGATATCTGGGCTAGCAAACAGATGAGGCACCAGAACCAGGAATGATGAGCCTTATTAGACAATGGACTATACCTATTTCATGCACTTTTTTTTCTAAAAAATTAATAATCTTGGTAACGCCACTTTTATTAACATTATAAAATTAATTCTCACCATATTGTCCACAATCAGGCAGTTGATCGTGGACCCTTGAATTGTCGAATTCTCGACCATATTTATCGACGCACCAACACCAATTATTATGACATTGTTCGGATTTGTAGTAGCCTTCTAGCGTACACTGTGGATGAAAAACTCCTAAAACAAATAGCTCTATATCTTCAAAATGCAAAAATATTGAAAGCAGAAAGATGGAAAAGGTGTAGAAAATATTGCCCGAGTTCGAATTTGTCTGAAATTAATGTTGGAAAATTAGCTGTAATAGGACTATAAAATTTTTTCATTCTTGTTTGATGCTGGCATCTTTTGGAAAACTGCGATTGTAAGTATTTTTATTTATACATACAAATAATGAACTGCTATGCATTAAAAGAAATTTATTAAAAAATTCTGTTGTAAAACTGGCCTGGGACATGAGGGTCATCACGATGCTTTGCAATATGGCAGGGTGGTTCATGCCTACTATCGTGAATCCAAGCAAAACAATCACACCATTCATCCAGTGTTATAATACCGTCGTTTCCAGGATCTGTATCTGTAAAAAAGCAAAGGTTGCGAAGTTGGGGTATCTTTGGGGTATTTTATTATAAATTATAATGCAAAATTATTTAATTATATATATATATACATTTTTTTAAAGAATCCTCACCATTACTGGTTAAATTCGCTCCACTGTCTTGTCGCATTGGGTTATATGCCAGGGAGTCCCTTTGGCGATAGAAATACAGGTGAATCGCCAGCATCACCCGGATTTTTGTGCAGGTTTATTCCTGCGAGGAACCGAATCGCAGCATCGCAGTTCCCAATTGAGCAACAACCCACTGAGCAATTCTATCCTCAATTCTATTCTATTTTTTAAATGATTATTGAAAGAATAGAATACCACAACGGTCGATAAAGGCTTTAATGCACTTTTCATTGACATCAGTTTCCAATGGTGCTATTTCTTTCACTGACAATTCACCATCATTATTTCCATCCCATTGTTGGAACATCCAAGCAACATCCATTGCGCATTGCACTTTGTTCTCTGAGAAATCACCATAAGTTCTCTATTCTTTATCAAAGAACTGCGAATGCTGTAGTGTTATGATATATGATTTAGCCAAGCTTTATCAAAATTATTGAATAAAGAACAGAGAAGACAACAAAATTCACTACAACTAGTTGTTAAACAACAGGTTTTTATTTTCATTTCAACAAAATTGTTCAACGGAGTAAAAATTTTGATTATAAATGGACTACGTTCAACATTTTTCGTAAGAAACTGGCGGAATGCGATATATTTTCAACTGTTAGATCAATGAAAATTTTTATCATACTATTCTGCAATATTAAATTAAGGCATAATATTAATAATAATATTTATTATTGTAATTATTTATTGGAGACTTTCTTAGTAAAAGTGAACAAAAAAGGCTAAATGGCTGGTACTCACCATCTCTCTAAGGCTCATTCCACTAACTGTTAGTACGATAAAAAATTTTTGGCAGGAAATGGCCAAAACCACTCAGCTCTCCTGTCTTGCAAAATAGATATCCGTGAATGGAAATGAACTTCCGTCACCAAATTGTTAAAGTGGAAGGATTGATATAAATTATTAATGAAATCAAATAGTAGAAAAAAGTTCCTGTCAAACAACATCTAACCCGGGTATTTTTGTTAAATGTAAATGAACTGTTAAATCAACTTATTACGACAATCCTAGAAAGAGCATACGAAAAGGAATTTTAATCCAATGTTTTCGCCTTTTTAAACCTGTTTTAAAATTGACACATAATCGAATTAGTTTAGATTTTTAGATTTAGATTTTGATTTAATAACCTTTGCATAGCCAAACCTATTTCGTCAAAAATATTTCTTAGCGAAGTTCTTAGTTTTTCATCCTTTCACATACAATAAATATTAATCAAATGTTCGTTCAAATTAAGTAATTAACTCATTTTTATCAAAAATCCTCTGAATGAAATGCCATTACGGATTTAATAGTATTTCGACTTCCACTAAAACTTTTTCAATTTTTGAATTGATTTTTCAATGCTAAGCTGAAATTTAACTACACTCTATTTTCCAATAGTTGAATGCGCTATAGTGAAATGAGGATCGACTGTTTTAATAATGCAATAAGCTTGATAAGTATAATTCTCTCAAGTAAAACGTCAATCAAGTAAACCGCATTTTTATCAATTTATATCTGAGCATGAAAACTTTTAAGAGCTATGAAGACTGATAGGTAAGCGTAAAAATCGATTCATGATTACAATTCATGCACTATTCCTCGATGGGGAACAAAAAATAAATCATCATAAGAAATCATCGCTTGGTGTTCACTTGCAGATGTATAATGTATGTGTGTATCTATTCTACTTTAATCGAATACGCTGACGATCTTAAATTCAGTTTTAAAAAACCAAATTAATGAAGAATGAATATTATGTGAAATGAACAAATTTTATCTTCGAGTTTATTTTCAGCAAAACACCATCTGTTGTATAATTCTAATGCATAAAATGGGAAGTGATCACCATTTTTGGCTAAGCTCGTCCTATTGGCTGTTAGCACAATGAAAAATTTTTGCTAGAGATTCATATAACCACAACAGTGCTTGCCGAAGGCTCAGTGCCTTTTTAGTGATAGGGTTAATCTAGGTATATAGGGATATTGGAGGTAAACTCGAGCTCCCGACTCTTAAATCGATAACCTCAACAACAACCATCCGGCTATTTTGCGTGATAGTTTACTAAATAAAATCCTAAGCAGTGATCAATTTCATTTTGGTATTAATGTTATATTAGTGGATAAAGCCACGAACTAACTGGTTATAATCCTTTGAAACAAAAAATAAAGGAAATAAAAATCAACACACACCAGTTACCAAATATTGATAGTGCAAAAGCAGCAAAAGCAGAATAAGAAATAAGAATAAGATCAAATCGAATCCCTATGCAGTTAAGCTAGATTTCATAAAAAGAAACTGCCATGAGCTAAATAATAATTCTGTTGCGTTTCATACTTTAAATGGCTTTTTGAACTATTGGTTTGTCTTTAAGCTATTTGTCAGTTAATATATTCGTTGTAAATTCAAATGTTTCGACTAATTATCTAATTCAACGACAACTTAGAAAAGTTTAATTAAGGGTCATTAAATGAAAATTTGGCGACTTGTCGGTTTAATCAAAAATAAAATTCGTCACACAGAGGTCGTCATTGAATTTCTCAGCGTGTGTTCCTTCCTTTGCACAGTTTCATTCATAATCCGTCACCATTTAACACTCTTTATCAGCGTGTATAAAATCTATAGGCTATCATTAATCTGTTCAACTGAATCTCGAATTATACATTTCAAGGATTTATACTGGCTTGATCGTTCTTTTGTTGCATAGGTTGATTTTTGTCTCGGATTTTTGGCTCTTGTAATACACCTATTGAAAAAAATATGAAAAAAAATTATGGGAAAATGATAAGCTATACCTTTTAAATATTATTAATAATAAGTTTTTTGATTTTATTCGAGATTTTATCTATACTGCTGTTACTTAGGAGAAGATTCAGTACCCGAGTAAGGTCTATATAAATCTGACTAAATCAAATCTCCATAATATATGTTCCATATAAAATATAATATATACATGGAATGCTCTGGTCAAAGTGAAATTGAATCGTCGGTCATTGCCGCAGTAATTAATGGTTCATTGGCTACGATTTTATTTTTCGTCTTTCTTCTTCTCTTGGTAAGGTAAGTTAGATTTTATATTCATGCTAAAATTGTTGCTTCCAAGAACTAGTTAACGAAATCAACTTTTTGCTTGTGACAGTCGAGAGGTTATTAGCTGTTTCATTGAAATTCAGATTCCTAAAAATTTAGAAAGAACTTTATTAGGCATCGGGTTCATTCTCCACAAATACTTTCTTTTTTACCAGCTGTCTACTGAACAAAAAAGAATTGTCGAGAAACTCGAGACTTACCTAATTTAAACGCAATGTTGTGCGAAATAATTCGAATTAATTACGTTCTTGGACTTTATATAAGAAGTGCTATAACAAGGTCTGAATGAGTGTTAAAGAAAGCATGACATGGTTTACTGTCTTTAAGATTTTATGGCGAAAGCTTGCTTTGAAAAGAGTGATAAGTAATTAGATTTGAAATTTAAGTGAGCATGATGGTACCAAACTCATTTTTCCGTATCATTTATTAGGGAGATCAAGTTAAAATAATAGCCGTTATGCACTCTTAAATAAAAAAAAAAGAAAATGTCATTGATGCGCAACTATTGATAGGAACTGATGGCTTATAATGTAAATTAATTTTTCACTATCATCAAATTGATCATCGTATTCCACTTTTTTACACTTATTATCTTAACAATCTACCGTAAAAAATTGGAAGTGATTGCACACATTTAGTTAGTTAAATAATTTATCAATTCTTACAATTTTTTTTATTGACTTAAATATTTGATGACCAAGTCGCAGCAATAACTTACATTTTAAGAAGTTTTCTTCTTAAAAATTCCATTTTTTGATGGCAGTTTTGTTTCCGCCGTGAGTAGCGACCGAATTTCAATGCTAGCCACACGACCTCCAAGAAGCCGAGGAACATTTCTGGGGACCACAGGAAAAAAAAGTAGAGTTACAGGAAATGGCTAGGGATTCCACGGAGCTACAAAGGGGATCACGTTAAATTCCAATTAGAATGTAAAAATTTATTTTCTATTTTAAAAAATTAATTTTGAGTGTCACATAAAAGTCTTGATTTGATTTGAAAATTGTATGATAATGAAGTATATAGTTGAGGAAAAAAGGAATTTAAAAAAGGAGTGATAGAAAAAAGGAATCGATTATATTTAACGAATTTCCAACCAAACGTACAAAAATTTATTTCTCATAAGTAGTAACGTCATATTTTCATTCAAAACTATTATTTTTCAAAATTAATTTTATTTTTAAGTCTGTTAATAAGACATTTTTTTTAGCGTGAAGTTCGTGAAATATATCAATTTTTCCCAACTTTATAATTTAGCTTTTTGCTTTTGTTGCTTTTTCTTTGTTCTGAGTTATATAAATTTTTTGTTGCAAACGGATATAAAATGAGTTAACTTTGTTGAGCTCCAAATAATATAGTTTGACCTTGAGAGGTTGTATTGTTATTCCGCTAATTTTCTATAAACTTCGAACTACGAGCTAAATCTTTTTTTGTTTGTTTTTTTCCTTCTTTTTCTGTTTTTCTAAATTAAAAAAACAAAGAAATGAAATAAATAAATATATATATACATATATAGAAAATTTATAATAATATTATAAAATAATATAAAGCAATTATGTCTGTCCTTGATAGGAGTAAACCTGTCACATCGAAAATCCAGTTAGTTGCTGTAACTCTATCCCCAAGGGACTGTATGGTGAAAGGGCCAGATGTTCTTGATGCAGCGTCCGCGCCTCCCGACGCGCATGATACTCTCAGCCCGGTGGTACATTCGATAAGTATACAATCCGGGCGCCAAACGATCCCAAGGTTCATAAGCAAAATGTTCTCGGAAGCTAGGACAATTCTCTACACCTATCAAGGGAAGGCCACTCTGCACGTGTGGAGAGATATTAGCCCTATCAACGTGGAACGTCAGAACGCTTATGGACGTTGTAAATCAAACGATCACTATCCACACCCTTTCTCAACATCGTGCCGAAATCGCTTGCTTGTCGGAGGTCTGTCTTCTAAACTAACTACTAATCCTGGATCGGAGCAGAGATACCAGCTACATCACTGTGGTGCTTCCGGGTAACTCATTACGAAATAGCGATTGCCATGTCTGAAAGGCCCATTCCGCTTTGACTGAGTGGAAACCGGCAAGCGACCGTATGGCCTGTACTTTTAAGGGTAAGTTCTGCAATATTTCGGTCATCACAGACTTTGTCGGTAGATGCCAGCAATAAACAGAAGACTTTGCTAACAAAGTCTCTTCCGAAACATGACATGGTCATAATGAGGGGAGACTGGAATGCGCGCTTATAT